GTCTATTCTGTTCGCTTCTTTGTAGAGTAATGTATAGATCAATTAGATGATAGTAGATTTAAAATGCACAAAAAACGCATTAGACGACAATTGAATGGAATGTGTTTTGAGAGGAAGAAATAGAAAAGAGAAGTAATTATATTCAATTAAGATACTATCGAATTTGTGACATAAATAAGTTTGTTTTTCAATATGTTTATTTATAGAATATATTTTTAATAGAATAAATAATAACTGAATAGTTTAAAATGTAAAACATAAATGAAACAAATTTAATTAAGATGTGTTAAAATATCTCATATTTATGGCATAAACTTGTTTAGAACTTACTTTCTATAGATGATATATTACTGTTATTTGCTCATTCATTAAGTAGATATGAGTTGTTTTACTATTCTACAATTATTTCTACGAGAAAGAGTTGATTTTCTTTTTTTCTTTTATTCGAATAATATCGTTTGACAATCAAAGTCATTGTTATTTATTTCATCTTTATATTTTCTTTTGTTCAATTTTTAATATTAATAATTAGAAATTGGTTCAAAAAGGTTAAGAAAAACAATACCATATGTATAAAGAAGCGTTGACTATGTTAATATAAATGACAAATACTCGTCAGATTGATAAGACGTTACTTGCTTTTTTAACATCACAGTATAATATCATTATTTATTTGACTCTTTAGTACCATAGCATTTATTCACTATTAATACATCAATATTAACTAGAGAAAAACGATTTTGAGTAAAATTCTTTTAAATTTATCGAAAATTTTTCACTTTTTGATAAACATTATTTTTATTATGAAAACCATCTTGAAGGTGTGGGTGATCAAAGCAGTAGTCAGACCTACACCCATACCCTACAAAAGTTTTCAATTGGTTAGTAAAAAATTTGAGGTGCACAATACTTCCCAGTGAGTCGAAAAAATGATACTAATATACAAAACACCAGAAAGTAATCACAAATATCGTTTGAGACTCCTCACATGTGATTAAGTAGCTCGAAAGGTATATCTTTTGCATGAAAAGCATGCAACACGATTCTATAAAATACTGTCCAGATCATCACGAGTTTTCAGTAAACAAGATTTCTCATTAAATATGCATTATATTTATTTCGATCTAAGGAAAAAATATCATTATCCCCTCTATTCAAACTATTAATGTATTAAGAGGTGACAGTTATCTTTTTACTGCGCACAGTTTAAATTCCAGGCACGATTTCCCATCGACTGTTGCCATTTGTAAAAAAACCGCCTTGTTTGTTGGAAGTGCCCTTTGTGTTGCATTCGTCCATGAGTCTACGCGTGATTTCAAAACAGTGTTGATAGAGGAGATGCCAGCCAAATGGAGACGTGTTTTGTCCTTGAATTTTCAAGCGACTATTACCCACTGGGTGCCACCACACCGCTACTTCTCCAGGCGAAAAATATTTATCATTCCAGTCAGCACAAGCGGCATTTGCTCCTCTGACCATGTCAGCTCGATCATAACCCTTACCAGAATTGTAACAAACGACTTTTCCGTCAATGCATTCGACCAAGGGAACAACGGAGATCGCAATAAAAGCTACTAGTATGATGACCATTCTATTCATTCTGTTTGCGATTGATAACATAATGTGATAGATATCGAATGCACACACACGTTTTAAAGCAAGGAATCACTAAAAAATGATGTGAAATAAATGCAGATGGTGTTTCGTATACTCATTCCCTAGCAAAACGGGGTGAGCACGAGGTTTCTTGGATAAGGACATTTCAGAGACGAGTACGAGTGCACACACTGTAGCTTCCTCATCTTCATCAAGGCAAATGAATGAGTGTCGGAGTGGGTGTGGGTGTCTCCAATCGATCTAGACCCACACCGACACACTTGATTTCCTAATCAGATAATTCTTAGCAATTTAAGAATTTTATTTTATTTAATATTTTTTACGATGGACATATTGGGTGTGAGGGTGTCTAATGGTTCTGATAAAAGATTCTGAGATGAATCTGATACTCGCAATATTCTATACTACCACCTTGAAGGTGTTGGTGTACATGTACATGTTTATACTTCAATCACATCCAGACGCATCTCGCCATTCATATATATATGTAAATATATTTTTTTCGGCTATGAGAATCCTTCGATTAATTTGCAATCTATTTTGTTCGCTTTTTTGTAGAGTTATGTATAGATCAATTAGATGACAGGCGATTTAAAATACATCATAAACGAATTAGATGAAAAATGAATGGAGTGTGTTTTGATAGGAAGAAATGGAAAAGAGAAGCAATTGTGTTTAATCGAGATACTATCGAATTTGTGATCCAAAATAAGTTTGCTTTTCAATATGTTTATCTATAAAATGTATTATTAATAGAATAAATAACAAACGAAACAAATTTAATTAAGATATATTATAATATTTCATATCAATGACATAAACTTGTTTCGAAATTACTTTCTATAGATGATATCTCGTCATAGATCTTCTATGAACATGAAAATGACAAATACTCGTCAGATTGATAAGACGTTACTTGCTTTTTTAAAAGTGCAATATGATATCATTATTTATTTGATTCTTCAGTATGACAGAGTTTATTTAGTATTAATACATCAATATTAACCAGAGAAAAATAACTTTGGGTGAAATTTTTTGAAATTTTTTATTTTTTTGATAAATATTATTTTTATCATGAACAAAAAAGGATTTTAGCTTCATTAAATGTAAATGCACTCAATAACCATATTTTAGTCGTATGTCCATATTCCTACTCATTCTTACTGTTAGTCTTACGAAAGAGATAAAAGAGTGCACCACCATATTTACTGATAAGAGAAGACTAAAGTACTCTTTTTTACGTTGTATATATAAAGTTATTCAAATTGTTGTGTTTCTAATATATTAAAAATGTTTCGAGTTCTTCTATTTTTTTCCATTTTTCCATTTATATCCCTTATTGATATTAAAAATTTTATTCCATTTGGTCTTGAACATAATGATAAAATATTTGAAAAAGAAATCACTAATATTACTGATCCAATATCAATATCTGTTCGTTATTCATTTTTTAATACTTATTATGATACAATACGTATATCTAGTAATGGTTTAATTGTATTTGGAAATAATAGTTGTTTATTATCATTTAAAACATCTGATCAACATCCATTTGACGATTTAGTATGTATTGCACCTTATTGGATTGATACAAATCTAACCTATGATACAGTAAGTAATATTTTTTACCGAGAAATATTACTTAAAACAGAACCTAATACACTTTATGATATAACAAAAATTTTACGTAATGGATTTCCTAAATTAGCAGCTCAACGAATGTTATGGGCATTTGTTATAACATGGTATGAATTACCTGATAATAAAAATGATATCAATCGAAATACTTATCAAGTAATCTTAACAACAAATGGATTTTATTCATTTAGTTTATTTACTTATCATCAATTACAATGGTCACAAGGTTTATCAGGTAATCATGCACAAATTGGATTTAATGCTGGTGATCAAATAAATTATTATAGATTAAAAAGATCTTTATCACCTGAAATAATAAATATTGTTAATGAATCTAATATTGGTATACCAGGTCAATTTATATTTCATACAACCGGTAATATTAGTGATGTACAATGTGAAACATCAACTGGTTTACAAATTTCACCATTTCGTGGTTCAATTTATGGTGGATATGAAATTCGTTTACATGGAATTTGTTTTAATCAATCACATTATGAGATACATATTGATGATCATCTAGTTGATGATTGTCGTATACTTAATTCATTATATATTGTTTGTACAATGCCAATGTTAATGGATAGTGGTAAAATAAAAATCGAATTATTTAACCAAGAAACTAAAGAACTTATTGATTCAACTGATTTTCTTGCTCATGTACCAGAAGATCATGGTGAATTAATTTTAAGTAATTATATTAATTTAACTCAACAAATAGCTGATCCAAATAATGATGAATTAATTCTTCATTTTCAATCAAATAGTATAACACAAAAATATCTTTTTCGTATTATTATTTATGATTATGCAACACAATTATCATCGGATAATCAAACTCTTTATAATCGTACACGACAACGTATTGATCTTGGATTAGGTTATCTTAATCTTTCAGCTATTAATAATCTTACAATTCGTTATGATACGATTTTTTCTGTAACAACTGATCCGACTGATCGTGTTCATGCATTACAAATCTCATTTGAAATCGAACAAACAAAAGGATGGCTTCGTTCAGCTCTTTTCGTTGGTGCAAAAATCTTTACAGCTGCAACAACATTAAATGCTGCTTATTGTCCAGCTTGGTTATTAATGCAAAGTGATCCATTAAAATATATTGAACAAGTTCCTGTATGTCCTTGTCAAGTACCAATAGAACCATGGTTAGATGAATATATGGGATTTCGTATTGATGAAGGATGTGATGCACGAAAACCTATTGAAGAAACATGTGCTTATCATAAAAGTGCAAGAGGTTGTTATCGAAAACGATCAGATACAAGTTGGGCTGGTGCTCAATGTTGTTATGATGAACAAGGTAAATTTATTGAACATGGTAAAGATGGTGCAGGAACACTTGATGTTATATCACCAGATGCAAATAGTTGGTATGGAAAAAGTTTAAATTTTTTTGGTCATTTTTTTTCGGATTTTCTTTCATATTGGTCTTGTTGTCGAAGTCTTTTAATAAGTGAAACACTATGTAAAGCTTATTATGATTATCGTCCTGCTGGTCGATGTGAAAATATGGAAATTGAATCAATTGAAAAACATGGAGATCCTTATTTTGTTACACTTAATGGTAGTTCATATACATTTCAAGGACAAGGCGAATATACATTATTATCATTACCAGAATTTAATGGACAAGAAGTTCAGATACGTCTTGCATCGAATGATGAAAATGTTAATAAAACAGTAGGAATTGTTGCTTTTGTTATTGGCTTTTTAAAAGATAAGAAACGTGTTCAATTTGAATTATTTCCAACACATCAACATCTAGAAATTCGTATTGATACAAGATTAATTGATTTACCACATGAAGAGTTTGGTGTATCAGTACTTATCTATGAAGATGAATATGTAAAAATAAAACGTAAAGTTAATGGTGCATTTAAAATTTCATTTCCTGGAAGTCATTTTCGATTTCGTGCTACTATTCGTCCAAACTATGATTTTTTTGATTTAGAAACATTATTAGAACGAGAAAAATTTAATAAATTATCAACACCATCTTATGGTTTATTAGGTGATCTTCATGGTTTAATGTATCCAAATGGAACACGAATATTAATTAATGAAAGTAATGAAAATACATTATTTGAATATGGTCAATCATGGGGTGTATCACGAAATACTTCACTTTTTTATTATTTAAATGATGATATTAATCATCAATTTAGTTTTTTTGAACAAAACTTAGAAGAAACAAACAAAATGACATTAGTTCAATCAAATTGTAATAATGATTTATTACAAGAACAAGAACAAGAACATTGTACTCAAGAGACTTCACATATTGATTCGAATGAATTAAATGAAGAAAATTCCCATGATTTATATCGATCTGATCAACATCATTGGGAATCATTGACAGTAACTATCGCAGCAGATGTAATACCACAGAAGAAATCAAATAGTGCAATTCATTATACATATTCATATTCGAATTTATTTATTTTATTTTTATACTTTTTTTTGTAGATATTTGTTTTAACTATTGTTATTTTTATATTGTTATAAAGAGAAATAAATTTAAACATACAATATTTCTTATCAGTATTAAACACTTCACGAATAAAATTCCGATATAGTGATTAAATCAATTATTAACAAAATATTTTTTTCGTATAGAATAGATATACTAAATAATATATTAATCGTTTACGATATCTGTTGAACATCGTTCTGTTAATTCTGGATGAGCTTGTTCATACCATACAGCAAGATTTTTCTGTCGGTCAAGTTCACCTGGTTCACCAAATAATACGTGCCATATATGTTCAAAATGTGAACAATCATTCATATCAATAACAATTTTTAATGCTAAACGCCAGAATGATATTGGATGTTGTAAAATACGAGAACGATGAATAATAAATTGTGCACAACAATAAGTACCCAAAGATAATGCTTTTATTTGATTAGCCAATGGATCGACTGTACGGTCATAACCAAGTAAATCAAGAATAGGACGACTTCGAGTGTATCTTTTAACATAAGAACCACAATTAGAACTTATATAACCAATTGATGCATTGAAAAAAAGACGTTGTTTATCTTGTTGTACTTGTTGAATAAACCATGACCATTGTTTGATAATATTTGGATTATGTCCTTGAGGTCGACCATGTGAAAAAAGTATAATTTCAGGTAGATCATAATAATGATCAATAATATACGTTATATAATAAGGACATTCTTGACTTTTTTTATATTGTGCTATTGGTCTTAGATCAATATCATTACGAAGCGATAAAGATTTAAGAATATATTCTTTCCATGTTTGTTCTGCAAATCGATCCAATATTATATTAGTCATTATATTCTCCTCTGTTAGAAAAATATCTGAATCATATACAGTTTTAGTAATATTATCTAATAGAGGATCTAACAACCATGCACCAGTTTCATCTTGTCGATTATCATCTGCATTCCATGCATGATCATGATTGACAAGTAAACCAGTTACTAAATGAATTGATTGTGATCTTACTATGGATGAACTAATCATATTTAGTGATGATCGTGTTGTACTCAAATAAATTATAAAGATAACAAAAAAAATTAAGATACATTGTAGAATATTTTGTCTGTTATTCTTTAACGGTAATACCATCACTAGAAAAGAAATCATAAATCTTTTTATTATTTCAATTAATCATACCGGGTGTGATTAAAGTTTGATGACATTATCTCTTTTGCAAATATGCTAATGAAGAAATAAAAAATGATGTTGACTTTTCTGTCAGACGACAGAGAATTTAATTGTCTGTAAGTTAATATTAGCTATAGTTTAAAACAATGAAGCGAGAACATTTTATACTTTGTGTTATGTGATCTCCTAAACAATATCTACTTCCCGTACAATGTTCTCCAAGTTTCCAAGCTGCTTTTCAAATTTTATGGAAGCATCGAAAATGCTTTATACTTGTAACTGGACTCCATGTTATATGCACTTCGAAAATTAATTATAAGTATTTCATTAGAACCTACATTTGTTTTATAGAAACTGTTTGTCTGAACATCTATAGCAAAAACAAGCATTTTTTCATAATATTCAAACTTTTTCGAGTTGATTCGTTTTATAAAGCATCACTTAAATTTCAGATGGAAAGAAAGATCAATTCTACGCAAAATGGTAGGAAAATTAACTCAGTCTGGTTAAAGATGCCATCTCTAGAAAACTTATTCTGAGAACCAGTACTCTCAGGATGAAAATATCACTTCATTTACAAAATATAGCATCCTATCTAATTAAAAGATTATATTTCAAAAAACATCATATTATACATATAATCGATAGAATTCTTTGATTATTCTCTAGCAGTGACTTACATTTTGAAAACTAAATAACCCTCAACACAAAAAGAATATATTACTAAAAAGAGATTAGTACAATCTCTACTAATGGGATTAAAATGTGAAATACTTGAAGGTGTGGATATGTATGGGAAAGTAACACTCACCCACACCCACGCCCTCAAGTGTTAGTCATGATCTGAGGGGAAGGGACAGAACTACTGTGTGTAAAATACTATTCCGATATGTCTCAACGCTCACTTTCAGATCGTGTTTGATAAAAATTGTAAAGGGAAGTGGTTATCGTTTAGTGGATTACATAACACAAACTACACAATTTTTTCTTTCATCATTTAAATTGCAACTAACATTAACCTGCACACAACTGATTCCTCTGTTTTCTCACAAAAAAATTATTCTATCAGATAACATTAATAAAAAATACGCCTGTTCATATTAGAAAACACATATCTCTACACTTGCTTGCCAATATATTATCATGTATTATTTCTCCATTCAAATCTTTGCATAAGAAAAAATAATGGAGAGCAAAAGTGTATTATATTACAGAGATCATTTTTTTATTAACATTGTTTTTGATTAATGTTCAGTAGGGATGGACCTTTATTTTTAATTTCACTTACTACTTAATATTAAGTTAGGGCGATCGAATTTTGAAATTTCAAGTTGTCAGTACTGTAGCGTAGACAAAACACGATGTTATTCGAATCATATAGAGGAGGACTACTGATAACCTTATAATCGGGCTTGATACTTATGTATCCTGCCTTCAGAATAACAAAAAAATCTGCTAAAAATCTAGTCGGACGAAGTGTCAACGAATCAAATTTGAGTAGACTTTTTTCTCTTATTCTTAAGACAAAACAAATTGTTATTCGAGCCACGCGAAAGAGGATTCTTGATAACGTCATAACCAGCCTTAACACTTACATGTTTTGTATGGAGAATAAGAGAAAAAAGTCTACTCAAATTTGAGTTATTGAAACTTTGTCAGACTAGATTTTAGTAGATGTTTTTTTTATTCTTACTCAAATAAAATGTTCTTTTCCGTTTACATTTGGCTTTTTTATAAAGAAAATATTTGTTCCCTGAAAGCATTACTTACCGGTTTTAATTGTTGATTCTTGTGTAGAAAAAAAAACGTGTGAACAAACGTAAGATAAAGAGCGTATCAAACAAAGTTGGTAAATGAATAAAGAACAGCAAAATTCTCTCCACTGAACGGAGGGTGATACGAAAGAAAAATGACATACGATTGTCTGTGCCAGGTTAAAGGTCACAGAAAATCTATATTTTTACATTAAGTTTGAGCACAGTTTTTGGAGCTCAGTAACACTAATATGAGATCTGTTTGCTTGCATAATCCAACATGGGAAGAGAAAGGATAAAAACTAATAGAAACTGAGTTTTAGATTGAATACAAAACTTGAACAAAGATGACTGATGATGGGAACTAATTTAGGGTGGAACTTTATTGGATCGAGTCACATTCGAGTTCGACAAACTGAGCCTGTGCAAGACTCTGATTAAATTGAGACGTTTGTAGGAGCACTCTTTAGTTTGGATCATTCGTCATATAATAATATGAAGAAATTTGAATTTTCTAGAGAGTTTAGCATGCATTAACTTTCAACAAAAAGTTGCTTTTTGGCACTTGGGTGTGGGTGACAGTATGAAATGAATACAATTCTCACATCTACACCCTCAAGATTGACCAACAAACAAGATGGGCTAGAAGACTTGCAAGCACGTTTCAAAGAGGTGGAGACGTTTTAGAAGAATTATAGGTGGTAGCGGGTGAAACAGATCCCATACAGCATCAGAGATGACTGCCCTGCACATCTCTGATTTAGATATGAAAAGAAATAATCAAATATATAACATAGTTTGCGTACAGATTACTAGTTGTAAAAAGTTTCAGCTCTAATTAGTACGAGACGAAGTTTTATTTTCTTTCAAATACAATTCAGTAAAAAAAGATTTACATAACAAAGAATAGAGTAAATAAGCAAAGGATTAAAACTAAAGCTTAAGTTTCATCTCTTTTTCTTTTCTTATCAATCAGCATTGTTTTTGTCGCTACCAGTAGAGGTAATCGTTTGTTGGGTAGTAGTAACAATCATATTTACATCCTCTAATTAATCACACTTTTTTTTATTTAGTTTCAAATTATTTTCAACAAAAAACAGTTACTGAAACGAAACGATTGAAAACAGAAAGTATGCAGGTGGAGGGGGGCCGCAAAAATATGATTATTTCTACTAAATTCACATACTCCGCGTGTGTGATCATACCGCAATACATGTTTTTGTTATTTTTTTCTTTCTTTTTTTTTCTTCTACTCCTATCTCGTCAATATTTTACAAACACATCGAACACATGTCATTGTTTACCTGTGTATTTCATCTGATAGAATTAGTCATTTTCTCTTGTATTTTTTGTTTGCTCCTTATTATTTTGATAGCATCTATAAGTGTGTCGTCCATTCTTTTAAAAAGGTACCAACGTGACGACATTTCTTTACTCGTATTTGAAAAATGGGTTCCGCTTGCAAACAGTAGATTCATCAAATTATTCTTCTTGTTCTTTCACTGATTTTGTTTTGCAGATTGTTAACACAATGACCAGCACTCACAATCAACCATGTTATGACCCGGAACTTGCCAGATGCTTGCAACAATTGATTCTTATTGGAGAAACTACTCCTATCACGCCTGAAACCATATCGACGTTGCGAGAACGCATACTCATGGTGCGACCAACCGATGACGATTTGCGCCGTGGAGGGAAAATTGATATTGAAGAGCGTCAAGTACCCGGTCCTAATGGTTCACCAGAAATCTCACTTCTCATCTGTCGCCCGAACGCTTCGGTTACAAATGCATCCACTTCATTGTTGCCCTGTATCTATAACATACACGGTGGTGGGATGATTGCTGGAAATAATCGCTTCAATATGGAAATTTTACTTGACTGGATCCTAGAATTCCATATCTGTGTTGTATCAGTAGAATACCGTCTTGCACCCGAACATCCTCATCCTGCTCCTTCTGAGGACTGCTATGCGGGATTAATATGGACTGCTGCACATGCACAAGAACTAGGCATTGATCTATCTCAACTTAGTGTGATGGGTATTTCTGCAGGAGGAGGACTTGCGGCTGTCATGGCGTTAATGACTCGCGATCGAAACGGGCCGACACTACAAGGTCAAATTCTTATTTGCCCTATGCTTGATGATCGTGATCAAACATTTTCAACTCACCAATTTGAAGGCACAGGCTTTTGGGATCGTCAATCGAACCTGACGGCTTGGACAGCACTGCTTGGCGATCAGAGAGGTGCTTCTGATGTGTCTCCATATGCTGCTCCATCACGTGCAGAAGATCTCAGTAATTTACCTCCAGCTTTTATCGACGTTAGCTCTACAGAAACTTTTCGTGATGAGAACATCGACTACGCTCGACGTATATGGCAAGTTGGTGGCGTTGCCGAACTACATGTATGGCCTGGTGGTTTTCACGACTTTCCAGCTTTTATGCCGGAAGCTACACTATCAAAACTTGCTATCGAAGCGCGAACAAACTGGTACCGTCGACTTTTGGCTTCACACAAAAAATAACATTGTACTAATACCTCCGTTATCAGTTTTCTGGTGTAGGCGTATCTAACAACTATGATATTAACAAAGAAACTGTAGGTTGACTTATTCTGTTCAATATTGCCTTTAGTTCTATCCTAGGATGGGTGTGGATGTAGGACCTACGAAGTTAACAATTTCTGATTATAGAATATACGCCTCTGCGATCTCTATTGCTCTATCATTGTTAGTTATTCTTATTCTTTATTCTTAGAGGCTGTGGGTATGAATTTGATTTTTATTCAATCAAACAACATCCATCCTAAATTACGATATAAAGATATTCTGACTTAATTTTCGTATAAAGACAAAATAATAATATTGATTTATAATTCTTATTCTTCAAAATTTTCATAATTTTATTTTTATTCTATATAACAATACTTTTCTCAGTGTTACAAAAAAAACGATGAACAATAATGACTAATGAAAAAGAAAAAAAAACTAACAGTTCTTCAAAAAAATCCAAAGAAAAAAAATGCAAAAAGAAAACTATACATAATGGGCGAGTTGGAGATCTCGAACGAGTTGTCGATGTTGACTCGACGACAAATGAGCAAATAAATCAGAAGTAAAATTAAAATCCATATCACATAATTCACAAGTAATCTGACACATAAATGTTGTACTAAAATGAAAATATTTTTTATAAATAAGATTAGTTTTTTTTGAAGAAAAAATGATAACTAACATTGTTGCTTTTTCTCGAAGCCAAATAAGATGATATCTCATCTTTAAACGATATTCATCATCTATTTCAACTGTACGAGTTATAACATCATCATGAAGTGGAAATAATCTTAAATGATCAGGTGAAACATCTTCAGCCATTTTTGGAACACGATCATCTGGATTTAACTAAATAGAAATAATAAAATCATTTCATCTACTCTTCATTCATTATTTTTTACTCTATTCCATTGAAATGTTCCAAAATAATTATTTCGATTTGGTGGTCGTTTTGCTTCAAGTAATCTATTATATATATATCAACATAGCTTTATCTAATAGAAATAATAATAATAAACTAACTTTTGTAATTCGATAGAAATTGTTCGTCGAACTGATCTCATTAAATCTTTATTCCCAGCTGATTCTGTACTATATAATGCTAAATTCATTTGTTTACGAATTTCATTAATCTATTTGAAAGAAAATAAAAGAAAATATTTTGTTCAATAAAATAAATTAAAATTTACTCGAACAAGATCTTCAGTTGATATTTGTACATCAAATCCAATATCAATATCATGATCAGGATAGAGTGACGTATTTGTTACTGGATTAAAACCAAGACCACATAAAACACCTGTTTTCATTTTACCTTCTTCATCAAGTCTAAAAAAGAAATTAAAGATATTTTAATCGATAATTCCTTTTTATTAACCTTAATTCAATAGTAGGTGAAAATATCATTGCAATTAAAGCTGGTAAACCACGAATTGATGGCATTAGTGTTGTATGACGAAGTGAAACAATTTGTCTTGTTTGCGAAAGATGAACACCATATGCAACAAGTAAACGACGATAATTACAATGTTGTTCTTCTTCTAAACCAATAGAATTTACTGAATCACCATCAATTTGAACACGACGCATTTTTGTTGCATAATGACATGATGAATGATTAGCTTCTAACGGTGAATATGGTCCTAAAATTAGAAAAATATTAATAAATAAATATAAATTATTATAATTTACCAGTTAATGTAACAGGTTGACCAATTTCTTTTCGTTCATAAACTTCACATAATTCTTTTGGAACATCAATCATTTGTACTGATATATTACTTGGATCAGTACTTGTTGATAAATCATTTGAATGACTAATAAAACGTTGAGCATCACGACGTATTCGATAATCATGCTAAATAAAGAAAGAAATTTTAGAAAAGAAAAAGAAATGAAATTGTTTTACTTCAAAAATATGTTCTTCATTTGCTGTTTCAGCAAAACCTTTATGTATTAAACTTTGTCGAAGTGTTGTTCGTCCCATTTCATTATGTCGTTGATTTTGATTTGTACGAATTGATTGTAAATCTAATAGAATATCACATTTAACAATATTTCGAGCAACAGCTTTAATTTCAGCTTCAACTTGTCGTTCAAGTATAAGTGAACAAACATAATTAAGTGCTGGAACAGGCCAATTATTTAATGGATAACGAGCAATATTTGGTCGAATTGACCATAATTGACATTCAAATGCAAGTGGAGCTATTTTTAATAGAGCTGGTTCAAGAATACGTACTAAATAAATTATACAAAATGTAAATATTTCACAGATAAAATTCTTTTTCTATCCAAATCCAACTTACATTGATCAATAGGAATAGGTTCTGTATTTCCCCAATCAACAAAAAATACTTCAACAGTGACATTATCAATTCTATGTGTAATTCTTGCTCGATAATATTGATATCGTTTATTAAATTGTTGTTGATCATTATCATTATTATTTGATATTATTGCTGCTGTTTGTGGTGTTACAAGAATAAATGGTGCAGCACACATCATACCAATTTCAACTGATGCTGATGCTAATGGTATTAATGTTCGTGATAAAATATCATTAATTTGTTTCATTTGTAAACTTGTTTCTCGATCAATATATTGTGCCCAAAAATGATTAACATCAACAACTGTTGAAATATGTATTGTTAAATATTGACATTTTATATCAGGTAATTTTTGTTGTGGTAATGAATAAATAGTTGCTAAAAAATCAAATGAAATTATCATTTATTTTTGAAATCTTCTATTTTATTTACTTTGTCGTTTAGCTAAATGAAGTAAAGCATCACGATGTTCTTCAAATAAATCTCTTTCATGATGTAACATATTATTTGGAATTTCTCCACCTGACATATATAAACGAAGACGTTCAACACGTTGTAATGCAGCTGATCGTTCAAATGTTTGTAAAATTATTTTACGATTTGTCATACTAAATTAATTCATTTTTTAAAGATTAAACAAAAGAAAATTCTTGTTTTCTTTTTTTGAAGATTTTATTTACCGAGCTTTAACAGCAAAATAAACAGCTGGTAAAATATTTGTATGTGATGTAGTTGATGATACAATTTGATCCAGTGGTATATCAGATGAATTTATAGTTTGACGTGTTGAATGTTGAGGTGCAAATTCAACAAGTGCTCTACAAATATTAATAGAAGATAGAAAAAATGTTATATGAATTAAATTTTACTTTGTATTTTCAAATGTTATTTTCATATCTTCAACATTAACTAATGCTTTAAGTTGTTGTTCAATTTGATTTCGATATAAAATTCCTTCGTTTATTGGAACATTTCGAATCTAAAATTAGAATTTGTATAACTTCTATTAGATTAGGAAAAAGTATTTACCATAATAGTTCTTAATGGATCTTTTGATGATAATTCTCGATCAACTGCTTCTGAATCAATTGGTTCTCTAATATAATAATTTGGATAAAATGCTCCAGCAATAATTATCTAAATACAAAAGGAACGAAATAAAAAAAATTATTAAAATTAACTAACTTTAAGATTAAGTAAATTTTGTTGTTGAATTATTGGATTTCTTCGTCTTTGCATTTGATCTGTTTCAACATCTCGTGGTACAAATATATGTAATTGACGTAAACGATTTCTTAATTCATCAATAAGTAAATGTACTTCACGTAAACGTTTTATATCAACACTGTGTAATTGAGCCCAACGACGTTCAGCATCAACTGTTCGAAATTGTTGATTACTTTCATGATAAAGCCATGTCTAATAAAATATTCATTTTTTTTCAAAGACTCTATTTATATACTAATTTACTTTATAAACATTTAAAAACGCATGACAATCACAAAATGTACCAGCAGCAAAATTAAATTTACTTCTAAAAATTAAGAAATAAAATAAAAGAAGAAAATTGAATAAATATTGTTTTATAATTTACTTATAAGTAGCTAAAGTATCTTTATAATAGATTTTAAAAATACTTTTTGTTGATAAACATGCAGCTATAATAACAGCTTCATAAACTAAACCAAATGCATGTCCTAACGCAATTAAACGTGATAATTCAATATCAATTGGTAATGCAGCCATGATTTTTCCAAGAAATGTTAAATCACCGTCAAATGGACGAATTTCACCTTGACCCATATGAATAGTTAATGCACCAAGCTAAAACAAAATTGTTTTTTCGAAATTTTACTATGTAAATAAATAAAAGATTTCAAATGAAAACAAACTTCTTTTAATTTGAGTATTGTTACTTCTATATCATTAATATTTGGTGGTTCTAAAGCTAAAGCTAAAATAGCTTTTGGTTCACCAATATTTAATTTTTTTGCTTGAAGAACAACACGATCAAGTGATTCTTGTACAAGTGCAGGTTTTTGATATGATGCAAGAGAATTATATAAATGTAATTTAACAAGACGATAACATTTTCCATGAGCAACACGACCAGCACGACCTAAAAATTAAATATTATATTTTCAAATCTAAAAAAAAATGAAAAAAAAGTAAACCTCGTCGTTGATCACAGTTAGCTTTTGATGCCCATACAAGTTGTAAACATGAATAATTTGTTTCAGGATCACAAACCATTTCTTTAGTTAGACAAAAATCAATTACTAAACAAAAAACGATTTATTTTAGATTTTATTCGAACAAAAACAAAATATTTTTTACCATATCGAACATCAGGAATTGTAATTGAACTTTCAGCAATATTTGTTGCTAGAATTATCTATTCAAATAAATTCTTATTAGAATAATTAAATACAGATGTTTTCTTTTTCTAAACTGTAGATCGATTTTAAATGAAAACCTACTAATGAGATAAAATCTTTTGTTACGTGTTTTACGATAGGTGAATAGTAGAATATTAATCTGTATCAAAAAATGAAACTATTGAATACTCAAGATGTGATCGACATACAAGGGTATGGGTAGGCGAAGGTGAGTGTAGGTATGGACTACTCTTCTTCCACACCCTCAAAACAATAGAAAACTCAATTAAACCCTCAAGATGGTTTTTAATAGATTTAGTAAAAAATGTTTATTTTCATTACCTTTCTATAAGTACTTTTTGCTGGTGTAAAAATATTCATTTGATCATCCATTGCTAATTCTGAATGTAATGGAATAATATCATAATTAAATTTAATACATTCATCAAAATCATCTAAATTAAATTTTGTTGAATCTGGTTTTCCACGTGGAAAACGTAATGCTTCATGAACAGTTTGAATTTCAAGTAAACCCGGTAGAAAAACAAGTACAGTAGCACGTTTTATTGGTAAATTTTTTGTATGATCCCATCCAGCCATACTATCTTCATCATCAAAACCTTTGATTAATTTAACAGCAAGATCAATTGCTTCACGAGATAAACGTGCTTCACCTAATTTTAAATCAGGTAACTAAATTTAAATAATATATTTATATATTGGAATCTTTTAAAATTAAATACTTACAAGACCATAATTTTGAATATGTTCTAAATACATTTCTTGTACATCAAATAATCGATCACCAACATGAAACTGACATGCCGGAACAATTTGTCCATTGATAACTTGACGAAAATAATGAGCTAATTTTTCCACTTCAATTGTTGCTGACATTAAAATAATTTTAACATTTTGAGAATTTCTTAACCATAATGTACGAATTAATATTAAAAGAAAATCCATTGATTGATCACGTTCATGAACCTCAAAAATAAAAAATATTTATTTAATAAAAAAATAAAATTTTTCTTTTCAAATTTACTTCATCAAGAATAATATGTGTAAAATCTTGTAAAGTTTTTGATAAAATTAATTTATTTAAAAGAACACCTGTTGTACAATATAAAATTCTTGTTAATTCACACCGTTGTTTATTTAAACTTGTTTGATAACCAATTGTTTGTCCAACAGGCCAATTCCGTGAATATGATATATGTTCACAAAGTGAACGTGCAGCAATACGTCGAGGTTGTGTTACAACAATATTAACTGGTTTAGATTGTTTTACAAAATCTTCTAAGATATATTGAGGTATTTGTGTTGATTTTCCTGATCCGGTATTTCCTTGAATAATTGTTATTGAATTTGTTTCAATTATTGATAAAATTTTATCTTTATGAGAATAAACAGGTAATGTTGTATCTTGATTTAACCATTGTTTGATTTCTTTATAATCATCAAATGTTTCTAATGCATGTGAAACACCAAAGATTTGACGAATTTCTTCTTTATCACCTTCACTTTGAACACCATCGGGATCGGTTTGACCTTCAATATCAGATAAATGTTCTCGATCTTGATCACGATTTAAATTTAATCGAGTTAAACGATTCGTTATGGATGAACCAACTGTTGTACTAGCAAATTGTTGACTTGTTGAACTACTTACTGTTGTTTCTGTATCAATATCACCAGTAATACCTTTATTCCAACGCTAAATTTTATTTAATATTATATTAACAGAAAAATTACAATTTTTCTTATGATTTTATATCGTTAAAAGTAGATTATTTGAAAATCACATCTAATATCTCTTGAGAAATATATAGGATATTATTTGTATATAGAATATTTTGTATTTTATTCCTTTTAGTTAAGAGAAGTGAAACTAGATTTAATTCAAAGTTATCAGATAATTACGAATATAAAGCTCAAAAATTTTACCAGAAAAAATATCCAATTTCTTGATCAACTACTAAAGATATATATTTATTTTGACATTTAGTGATAATAATCGCTTTATGATATTTTTCCTGACGTTTTCGCAACAGATACATTCTTCCTTATAATGTATTCAATACTACTATAATTCTTATATACTTATTAGACATTTTCTAAATTTTCATCTATTATTCTTGATAAAAGCAAACTAATTTTTACTTGTAAGAATTCATTATCATATCTTTGTTGATAATCTCGTGCATAAGCTTTTTGATCCATTGGTAATAATTGTTTTCTTTAAAATAATAAAACTATGAAATAAATAAATCTATTTCAATTAAAATGAGGATTACTTTTCATGAAATGTTGCATATGGAATAATATTCATTTTGTTTTTATTGATTTTTTGCATTTCTTTTTGTTGTTGTTCAAATGAAGTTGGACGAAGATATTGAACAGTTTTACGTTCATTTATACTTGATATTGAATTATCAATTGAATTTGTTGTAGAATTTGGTCGTACTGGACCGATACGAAAATAATTTTCAATATCTTGTGCAGTTAAAGATTCAGTTGCAGAGTACAAGGAATTTCCTGAAGCATAACTTGGAGCAATCGTTTTCTGTTTTGTTGAATTTGGACGATCAGGTTGCATTGATTTTGACATTTTGTTTTCGATTAATATCAAAACCAAAACGATAAAATAAGACAACTTCGTTCTATATATGCAAAAAAAATTTTGGGGAGAATTAAACTACCAATCAAAAAATAAGGTTATATCTCTTTATAGAACATTCACAAAAATATCAAAAATATCATCTAACTATATATATAATCAATTTTGAGTTTGATTAGTAATATAACTTGTTTAGAATCCCCTCAAAAACCCTTTGACAAGATCAGTGGCGCCACCTGTCATTACATATCGATATTTTCAATTATCAAGAGATGAACGAAATAGCTATTCGATTAAACAATTAATATAACAACAAGATTAATCTTTTGTATAGATTTCTCATTAAAGATATTTATCATATAGTATATCAAAACTCATTCGAGCAGCTCTTGTCTTTGACATGATGAACACACACACATATCAGCATCGAGTTTTATCAAAATATAATTCTCACTTTTGACATTATCATTTAATCATCTTAAAGACCTATCGTGCAATAAATATTACATATTATTTTAATGAACGTCAATAAAAGTAAGTCTCATAAAGTCCTTTTTTTTTAATTATAGGTATTTTTGTTATAATATGTATGGTTTTTCTATAATCTTTCATATTGTTGAAAGTAAAAACTTAATATAATTATTATAGATAAACTGATGTCATTGTGATCTTTACTTATTTACTTGACAGCAATAGATACAGCCATTATTCACTTTTATATCATTTCAGACAACGAGAAAAATAGGGTCAAATTCAAGATACTCGTGATTGTACCTAATTAGAATATATTATTGTATTTTTCTGGTCTATATAAATAAATGTGTTTACATATAGTTCGAAGGTCATCATAGTACTATAAATAAGACAACATTTGGCACATATTCTGCAGACTTCTGCTTTTGTCTTTATCGTAACTGATAAACAGAAACTAATAAAATATTATTTCGAATGAATATTATTCTTCTAACACTAATAACAAGTATCTTCGCCGCCAAAGATTCGTCAAAAAGTGCTCGTCGTACTTATCTTGTTAAAAAGGATCTCTTCAGTTTATTGAAATTCAGTCAATTTTCAATACTCGTACCAGAAAACCATTTAGTATATCGTATCAAATCGTATTATACTTTTGGAAGAAAATTAGAAGTTATTCATGTACCAACTAATCAAGTTGTTTGCCGGTTGCAAAATAAACCCAGTTTTATATAAAAGGCAATAAATTTTACAATTCTTAATTCAACTTCTAATGAATGGATTCCTGGAAAAATTATATTAACACCGGCTGGTCTTGATAGCAAATTTATCATAAAATGGGATGGATATAGTATTGCGATGACAACAAAATTTGGTTCATTAACAACAACATTTGAGTATGAATATCATAGTGGCATTTTAGCAAAATTTAAAAAGCGAATTTCTTCACTTGTATGGAGAACTAAATTTGATTTACAAGTATTTTCAAATGATCTACCAGATACAATTTATTTTATTGGACTTGCAATGAAAGAACAAAACACTAAATCTAAGGGATGAAATTACAAATATTAACAACATAAATTCATTTTTACATTATCATCATAGTTTTCTCCTCTATATTGTTAAATTAACAATATTTAAATAAAATTAATTTAAGTAATTTATCAAAGAGTAGATACATGTCAAAATAATAGTCAAGACGGTGTGGATCTGTAATGAATAGAATACTCACTTCCACATCCACACCCTCAAGATTTTAGCAAAAATAAACTTTTTAGTGTAATCACGAGAATTATATTGAGCAGCCAAATGATGGCGGTCAAAAATAATGTTTTTCAATATCCATTTTAACTTTGATTTTTACAGTAAAGTCAAAGTCAAAGTGGCATCCCTAATGGAGAAAATATTATTTGATCATCTTTAGAACCTATCATACAGTGAACGTTAGATTAATTATTAGTTTAAAACATTTTCTACGCATCAAATAAATATAACATAATATTTCAATGAAAATCGATAAAAAAAAGTCTCATCAAGTCTTTTTTTTAATTATACATGTTTTTTCTATAATCTTTCATATTGTTGAAAATAAGAACTTAATATAATTATTATAGATAAACTGATATCCATGTGATCTTTGCTTATTTACGCGACAACAATAGATGCAACTATTTTGTTGTTTGCAAATCATTCCAGATGAATAGAAAAATAGGGTCAAATTCAAGATATTCCTGATCGTACTTAATCAGAATATGTTATTGTATTTTTCTGCTCTATATAAATAAATGTGTTTACATAGAGTTCGAAGGTCATCATACTACTATAAATAATGTAATAATTGACATACATTCTGTACACTTTTGATTTTGTCTTTATCTTAATTGATAAACAGAAACTAGTAAGATGTTATTTCGAATGAATATTATTTCTCTAACATTAATAATAAGTATTTTCGTCGGCAAAAATTCGTTGACAACTGCTAATCGTAGTTATCTTGTTAAAAGAGATAACTTCAATGTATTTAAATTCAGTGAATTTTCAATATTCAGATCAGAACACCATTTAGCATATCGTATTAAATCCTCTTATGCTTTTCGAAGAAAATTAGAAATTATTGATGTTTCAACGAATCAGGTTGTTTGTCGGTTGACAAATAAAATAAGTTTAACACAGCCTGGAGCAGATTTTTCAATTCTTAATTCGACTTCCGATGAATGGATTACCGGAAAAATCCTAAGAAAAGCTGGTTTGAATCAGAAATATCGCATTAAATGGGATGGAAATGATATTTTGATGAAGACAAAATTCAATTCACTAATAACAACATTTGAACATGAATATCCAAGTGGTATTTTGGCGAAATTTAAAAGACCATTTTTTCCACTTATATTCGGAGTTGAATTTGATTTACAAATATTTTCTAATGATCTACCAGATATCATTTATTTCATTGGACTTGTTATGAAAGATCAAGACAGCAGCGCAGGATTTAAAGGGTGAAGCTACAAGTATTAACAATACAAATTCATTTATATATTTTCATCATAATTTTCTACTTTATGCTTCTTAAATTAACAATATTTAAATAAAATCAAGATAAAACACCCTCATTGTATCTAGTATTTAAAAAAATAAAATCATCTTAAAGATGAATAATATGATTTGGATTACAATGAAATTGTTAATAACACCTTGATTGAAAAATTTGGAATATAAGGAATAATGGTTTACTAGATAGTACTCACTTTTCTACACTTGTACTTAAACGACGAATTAATACTAATTCATATCAATGGGGGTTTTTAATGGTAGCTAAATGGGTTCATTAGTACTTCGCATATTTCATATGTATAAACTACTTTATTGAATTGTTGAATAGTTTTTTGATCGGTAAAAGAATTCTATAACTATTTAAAATTCGATCTAAATACATCGATTATGGAATATTTTATATATAAAATAGATTCAATGTTTTTGATAGTAGATTCATTCCGACTTGTGCCAAGAAATGTACACTTAAAATAATACGTGTCAATTATTCTTCTTGTTATATTTTATTGAAGAATAATATATTAATGAAAAAGTCCAATGTATTTAGCAGAGCTCTCGATTGTTTTTAAGAGTGATGGGAGATAATATTTTTCGGCAGACAATCATTTTCATTAGAATTTTTGATATGCAAATCAGCTTAAATTCTTATGGATGTCCGCAACTCGGCTGTTCTATTTCTTAAACATAAATTTAATTACAATCGCACACTCATTCCGACATTCAGTTAAATTTATTCTATGCGTCTATTCGAATAAAGATAAGAAAAAATTACTTTGACACCACGAAACACTGCATCATTTGAATGAGTCAATAGGTGTTATATCAACCAAATTTTGCTCTGCATAAAAAGACACATTTAATATAAATCTTATATGATATAGTTTATATTGAGTATTCATACAATAGTTATTTATGATTTTATAGTAAATATATATTATGCAATCATAAAAAGAATAATGGGAGATATACATTGATTGAGTCGACGCTAATGGTTAGTTCTAGCCTTCAATATGATTTATTAACTAATGAAAAAAGACAAAAGTTAACTTATTTCTACTGTTGAAGATTGATTCAACAGATCTAGATATAGTTTATATAAATTTCGAATAATTTCTAGTGATTATTAATGAAATAAACTCGATTAAACTATTCGTCAACATGTGAAATTATTTTAAATATCTATTAATTATCTATGAGTATTTAGTGGATTTGTTTTATTTTGTTGACTTTTTTGTATATTTGTAGGATTAATTATTCTATTATTTGTATTTGTTATTGGTTGAACACGAGTCGTAGATGATTTACAACAAGAAAACCATTCTATCCATCGCACTTTTAATACTTGTTGAATATCTCTAGTGAGTACAATAGTCATGATTATTACAATAGCTATTGCAATTGATGGTGCTGTTATAGTCATTAAAAATAATACACTTGGTGTTGATTCGACTTGATTTGATACTATACTATAAATTACTGATGGAATACCACCAAATAGAAAAATACTAAGTAAAATAAGAATATTACGTGCTAATCTAGCATCACGTTTTGCTCCATGTAATAATTGTCGAAAGTTTGCTGTTGAATGAATAGTATGATAATAAATAATACCATATAATATAGTAAACATTACAATTGGAATGATAATAACAATAGTTAAGAGATAAAATGTATGAATTTTATATTTCATTGAAACTAAACACATTTTAAATGGAACATATACTATATCTTTAGTAATTAGACTGGGTAATGGTAAGAGAAATGAAATCGAAATATTAAATATAATAAGATATAGATGATATTTTATAGATAATAAACATCGATATTTATATAATACTGTCCAAAATAAACGAGATATAGCTTGAATAATATAAGAATATATAACTATAATAAGAGAAAAGTAATATAGATAACCACGTATTCGACATGGCCAATCAGTTGATGAAGATGCAGTATAGAAAATAAAAGCATTTATTGTTGAAATAATTAAATAAAACAGAGTCGATACACATGTACTTAAGACGAGTAAATTTGTTGAAGAATGTAAATTTCGTGTAATAATAATGAGAATTATAATGAGTAAACAAGCAGTAGTAGCGATGATTATTGATAAAGTATACATGATCATACTAACATACAAACCGATATTCATACTATTTAATTGCATTCCACTAGTATTTGTTGTCATTTTCAATATATAAGAATGTTTATCCTTATAAAATATAATGAGTCGACTGCCGTGAAAAAACTTCTAGTATATTATTATATGAATATATACTAATGATCTACTTATCATGACGTATTCATAATGAAGAAATAATAATAATATACTATATATAGATACAATTATTTAAAAATTTGAAATTTACTTAATGATTCAACAAAGAATTCAAAATTTAAAAAGATTTTTTATTTCATTTCCTTTTTTCTTTCTAAGTATTCTTGAAAAACTCAATTTGATATGTCTGTCTTATGAAAATGAATAGATTTATGATTGAAAAATTATTTTCTCCTAGATATTTGTTTGTATTTTGATTAATATTCTTCATAAATAAAATGAAGAACCAACTGATCATATTTTATTAAATATAGTAGTAAAGTATCCTGCACTTTCAATGATTGTCAATGGGGTAGCCCCACCGGAGGTGAATAATTTAATTATTCTATAGTTTGTTAATTAAATATTTTATTTCGATGGTATTTAGCGTAAACAATGGACTAATCCTGTCGAGTTTTTTTTAACGTTGGTTGCATTTGGTCAATACATAAGTTTTAATATTTGATTTCTAGCGGTTGTTTTAGGAAATATTTCGCATTTTTCGTATCTTTGTTTTGAAAGTGGAGGAGACAAGAATAATTTGACTGTATTCATATTCTATATTGTTGATGTTATAGATGCATTTCTTATACGATAGTCCGTGGATTTCACAGACAGTCTACATTGTGCACTGTCTGCTAGAATCCACAGGCAATCCACATTAAGCTCTAGAACGAGCAGAAATTCTGTACTGTTAGCCAGACTTGTCAGAAGCTGAAACGCAGCAGAACATTTCTTAGATGTATCTAGAAAAAATGTTGGTAGACATACCAGAAAATTGCTAGAGGCTAGCCCCCAGTATTCCCCATCATGCCGAAAGCCCTGATTTCAATGTTCTTGATTATTCTTCGCGTTTCGCTAATTCACAAAAAATGGAGAAAGTTTCATTTGATCATCTTAAAGATCTATTGTGCAATGAATGTTAGATTAATTATTAGTTTAAAACATTTTCTACGCATCAAACAAATATTACATATTATTTCAATTAAAATCGATAAAAAAGTCTTATCAAGTCTTTTTTTTAATTATAGGTATTTTTGTTATAATATGTATGTTTTTTCTATAATCTTTTATATTCTTAAAAGTAAGAACGTAATACAGCTGTCATAGATAAACTGACGTCCATGTGATCTATACTTATTTACGTGACAGCAATAGATATTCCAGACAACGAGAAAAATAGGGTCAAACTCAAGATACTCGTGACTGTACCTAATTAGAATATATTGTTGTATTTTTCTGCGTTATATAATAAAATGTGTTGATATATAGTTCGAAGGTTATCATACGACTATAAATAAGACGATACTTGGCACATATTCTGTAAACTTCTGATTTTGTCTTTATCTTAACTGATAAACAGGAACTAATAAGATGTTATTTCGCATGAATATTATGCTTCTAACACTAATAGCAAGTATCTTCGCCGCCAAAGATTCGTCAAAAAGTGCTCGTCGTACTTATCTTGTTACAAACAGTTTCAATTTATTTAAAATCAATGAATTTTCAGTATTCATATCAGAAAAAAATTTAGTATATAATATTAAATCCGATTTAGGTTTTCCAAGAAAATTAGACATTATTGATGTTTCAACTAATCAAATTATTTGTCGCTTGAAAAATGTATCCGATCGTCACCGTCTACAAAACGATGCAAATTTTACAATTCTTAATTCGACTTCTAACGAATGGATTTCTGGAAGAATTATAAGATCAATTTCTTTTTTGGGTGCTAAATACTTCATAAAATGGGATGGATATAATATTTTAATGAAAACAAAATTTGGTTCATTTTTAACAACAACATTCGAATATGAAAATTATAGTAGTATTTTGGCAAAATCTAAAAAACGAATTTCTTCACTTATGGGGACAGCTAAATACGATTTACAAATATTTTCTGATGATGTACCAGATATGATTTATTTCATTGGAGTCGTAATAAAAGATCTCGACACCACCTTCAGACCTAACGGATGAAATTACAAATATTAGCAATATAAATTCATTTTTACTTTATCATCATAGTTTTCTACTTTATATTTCTAAATTAACAATGTTTAAATAAAATCAAGATAAGACACCCCCACTGTATCTAGTATTAAAAAGGTTATCTTGAAGATGAATGATATGTTTCTGATTACAATGAAATTGTTGGCAAATTCTTAATTGAAAGGAATAATGATTTACTAGGTAGTAGTCACTTTTCTACACTTGTAATTTATCTCATCTAATTAGTCTATGTAAGTATAACAAAAAATGATAAGAAATTAAAGTTCAATATTCATAAGATGAAACGTCTAGTTTATTTGACTATACAAAAAAAAATAACAAAAAAAAAATAATAATAAAGTATTTAAGCATCATTAGAATTATTTTGATGACCAAGAACACGATATCTAAGATCCTAGAATAGAATTTAAAAAAAAGAAACAAATATAAAAACAAAGAAGACATTTTGACTAATCATACTTCAACTAATTTATGTGATTGATTTGCTTTTGAACCAGCAGTTATCATTCCTGTATAAACATTCTTAGCTGTTGCAACTAAATCTAAAAAAAAGAAGGATAATTTTACAATTAACAAAAAAACAAAAGTCTTTTTTTTTGTTCTTTTACCTTCAGTAGTAACACCTAAACCATTTGTTTGTAAACGTTTTTCAGCACAATCTAAAACATCTTGACATTGCTTATAAATTACTTTAATATCTTCCACTTTTTGCATTAAATAACTAAAATAAATAAATAAATAATAATTTTTCTACAATAAAAAAAAGTGATATTTACTTATCAACAACACGATCTTCAATATCAGCACCTAATGGTAATGATCGAAGATATTTACAAATTGTTGCATTATAAAGTTCCTAGAAGAGAAATATATTTTTGTAATTAATATTATTATTATTTAAATTTTTATTAATAACCTGTTGATATGCTTGATTAATTTGAGCAAATGTTGCTTCATCTCTTTGAACATCACTTTGAATATCTAAAACATGTTGTTGAACACGTACAATTTGTTCATGAACATTAATAAATTTGCTTGTTGATGTATGTTCCATATCAGTTAATAATTGTTCAGTTTCAGATAACATTGTACTAAAACAAAAACATTACAATTTCAATTCTTCAATCAAATGAAAATATTTACATAAAATTATCAACAAGATTATCTAATTCTGGTGGTAATAATTGATCCATTGGATCAGATGATTCTTTTGGTTTTTGAATAATACTTGTAGAACCTTGAAATAAAATAAAATAGTTTTATTTTTAAATTATTTTAATTCAATCGAACCTGATGTGGCTGTTGTAAATAAACCACTTGTACCCGTAGTTGATGTACTGGGTGTTGTAGTTGTTGATGGAGGTGCAGATAGGCCACCAAGACCAGTAGTACTTGTTGTTGTTGTAAGTGTTGGTACACCTGACTAAATTAAAAATAGAATGAGAATAAATATAATAGAATAATTAAATAGATAGTTACTAATGTGCTAGTAGTAGTAGCAGTTGATGCTGCTGTTGTAGGTAATGAAAAGCCAATTGGTGTTGTTGTTTTTGGTGGAATAGAAAATGTTAGAGTACTTGGTGTACTTGTAGTAGTTGATAATGTTGTAGCAGTTGTTGATGATGAAGAAAGAATATTTGAAAGGACAGTATTTCCTGATGTTGTTGTTGTACTGGGAAGAAAACTAATTGAAGTTGGTGCTGTTGATGTTACTGCTGTGGGAACAGTAAATGAAAGAGGAGCATTCGATGTTATATTTGTTGTTGTCGTTGTTGCTGCTGCTGTAGATGGATTTCCAAATGAAAATGAAGGAGTCGCTGCTGTAGGTATCGTACTAGCAGTAGTGGTAGTTGTTGCTAATGAAAATGATGGAATTGCCTAGAAATAGAATAGATATTTATATGTAGGAATTGAATAATAATTACCGATGAAGCAAGAGTACTAGTTGTTGTTGTAACGGTAGGTTGAGCAGTGAATGCAAATGATGGTGTTGTTGATGAAGCTGACGATGTTGTTGTAGCTGCTGAGAATGAGAAAAGAGAAGGAGCTGGAGTAGATGTTGCAACTGGTGCTGTTGCAACAGAAGGTGTTGGTGCAAAAGCAAAATTTGATGAAGCAGCAGCAGCTGTTGTTGTAGGATTAGCAGTAGTTCCTGAAGGAGTTGCAAATGCGAATAGAGAATTCGATGGAGTAGTTGTTGTTGTTGCTGCTGTAGTTGCTGGCGCAGAAGCAAATGAAAAAAGAGATGAAGACTAAAAAGAATGACGAACAATATTTTTATTTTTATTCATTATTAATACTGTTTAAAATTATAATTACTGGTGCAGTCGTAGCCGCAGCAATTGGTGCAAATGATGTTGTTGATGAACTTGATGGAAAAAGCGATGATGAAGGTGCAAAACCTGCTGAACTTGGACCAGAGTTAGTTGCTGGTGTTGCTCCGAAAGAAATGGGCGCTGCTGCTGCTGTTGTAGTACTACCGAATGGTGTTGCCGTTGATGAACTTCCACCAAATGAGAAAGAAGAAGAAGCTGTTGTAGTTGGAACAGAAGCAACGGTAGCTGCAGGTGTTCCACCAAATGCAAATGATGATGGTTGTTGTGTTGAAGAGGCTGCAGGTGTTGCACCAAAAGCAAATGATGATGGTTGAGTAGAAGTTGGTGCAGCAGTTGCTCCTCCAAATGAAAATGATGATGGTTGTGTTGTTGGAGCTGGTGCTGTTGTTCCTCCAAATGAAAATGAAGATGGTTGTGCAGCTGGTGCTGGTGCTGCTGTTGTTGATCCAAATCCAAATGCAGATGGTTGATTTGTTGAAACTGCTGGAGTTGATCCAAATGAAAATGAAGATGGTTGAGTACTTGCAGCTGTAGGTGCTGAACCAAACGAAAAAGAACTGCCTGTTGTATTAGCAGCAGGTGCTGGTGCTGATGTTGCACCAAATCCAAATGCTCCAGTACTAGTACTACTACTACCAAATGGTGTACTTGTAGGTGCACTTGTTGAGCTACTAGAACCAAATGAAAATGAAGGTGCCGTAGCTGCATTCGTTGCAGCAGTCGTAGTCAAACCACCACCAAATGCAAATGGAGTAGTACTCGCTGTGGTTGTTGTTGAAGGTGCACCGCCAAAAAACATTTTTATATTCTCTAAAATATTAAAGTTAAATTTAGTTGAAAAAAAAAGAAGAGATGGGAATTTTGAAACAAATTATTACATTTGCCTTTGATAACTTGAATAGGTAGATGAATCATTGAAGGGAACAATTACCAATCAAAATGGATATGAAAACCTTTTAAATTAAGTTGAAATGAAAGTTCTCTATTTATTACATCTATTATCTATTCAGATCTAATTGAAAATTATTTTAATAAAGAAGATTTTCAATTGTAATCATATATATTCACAAGACAGATGTCGCATTTATACAGAAGATCTTTTAAATACTGTGATAATACGATCAAAAATTAATAATATGTGATACACTAAGAAACTATGTACGAAAAGTAGATAGTAATTTGTTTTATTAGATAAAATCACAAGAAATTCATCTGAATATTATAAATTCTTATTTTGAAACTAATTAATTATAACAAAAAAATGATTAATATACTAATAAAAAAATAAACTAAATATATAAATAGATGAAAGTTATAGTGCAACAAAAAGAAAAACGATCGAAAATTTATTCAAGTCCTGGAATTAGTTTGTTACGAAATGCTTCAAAGAACAAATGATGATATCGACGAACTTGTTTTCCATATTCCTAAAATAAAATACAAAGGAATATTATATATAAAAAATATAATTTATTTTCTATCTAACCATGCCAAATTCAACCATATAATTAATAAATTCTTCATCACGATCTTGAATAGCTTCACGAATTGTTTTTTCTGTATGTAGTGGAATAATTGAAAAAGGTAAACAAGCAACATCAGCTGGTGTATTAACACAATCCGAATCAGCTACACAATGAATTTTAGCTAAAATAAATAAATAAATAAATTCTATTGACATTTTTTTTCTCATATTTTTAAATAATTGAATAAATTTCACCTGTAACTTGTCCTAAATATGTAACAACTTCAAACATATCATTTATATCATTAATATCATCCCACTCTAAACCTTGTGAATGAGCTGTAACTTCATCAACTACACATGGAATTGATCTAAGAGATGTATAACCTAACCATTGTGGTGTTACAGCTTGCATTGCATAAGAACAAAGAACAGTTCTTAAACCATCATGTTGGAAAAAATTTTCTAATTCATCATTTTGAACAACATAACTAATAGCTGATTTTTGTGCAGGTTTCATATAAAGAATAATATCATTTTCAAGTGTTTGTGTTGGACCTTCAACTAAAATTGAATAGGAAACTTTTCCAGCTGATCCAATACCAGATGATGAACGTGAAACAATATCTTTAATATGATAGCTAAAATTTTCTGAATTTTGATCACCTTTTTTTTTAAATTCTGGAATTGTTTTGACATAATTTTCAAATGCCTTAATAATAAGAAGAAGAAAATATGAATATAATTTTTCTATTTGTTAATATACTTCTAAAATATCGGCTCGTAAATCATCATCAACATCTTTGATCGTTTTTGATCGAATAAATCTTCGATCATAATCTTCAATTACAGTCATTGAATTTAAATGTTCAACATGAGATTTAATTCGAGTTTCATTGAGAATTTTTTTTATTTTACCAGTTGTATTTGTTAATGTTAATAAAAAAATATTGTCAGGCTGTTGACAAAATTCATCAACTTGTTTTAAATATGATTCAACACATGTGCGTAAAATTTGTTCAATTTCTATATCTGAACAACCTTTACTATGTGCAACTAAATTTAATGATGCTAAAAGACGTTTAATATCCCATGTAAATGGTCCACAATAGCCTTCATCAAAATCATTAACATCAAAATTTAAAATACCATGATTATCTAAATATGTTCCAAAATTTTCAGCATGTAGATCTCCCTAATAGAATAAGAAAATTGAAAATAAATCAAAGAAAATTATTTACATGAATAAAAATATTTCCAGCTTCTATATGACCATTAATCCATGGATCTTGATCAATTTTTAAATCTTGATAAAATAATAAAGCTGATCCACGATAGAAATTGAATGGTGTAGCAGCCATTTTTCGAAATCGACCACGAAATGCTGTTGGATTATCTTGGATACCATCACCAAGATATTGCACAAAAGTATCAATAATGAATTGAGATCGTTCTTCATCTGTTTGTGCTTTAATTCGATCGATGGCCTTTTCTGGTGCATCGCATTCAAATGAAAGGTTGCTAAACATTATTGATTTTTCTAAAATATCTTTTACAATTAAATAGGATCAACCAATGCAGCTTATATATACAGAAAAATTTAAAAAAAACATCAGTTTCGTTCTTAATTCGATATCATTAACAAAATAGAACGAAGGTGTGACTATACGAACGGAAGTTTGATTGAACATTTTATTCTCATTTCTATAAGTGATAGTTAAAGAGAATAGGAACTCCTTACGTATTATGTCAATGAAACCAATGAATGATTGGTCGTCTATAAAATAAAAACGAGTAGTATCTGAAAAATAATGATTCAATTATTATTAGCGTTTGACTGGTAAAAAGCAAAATATCTACTCAAGATAGTTAGCTTTCATTTTACAATCATCACAAAAACAAATATATGTAATACACTCTTCTATATGAGGAGAGAGTAATAGATGAGAAGAAAATGTATACTCACAAATTAATCATCGTTCTTATTCGAAACGCCTATGAAGAAACGATATGAATTGAGAAACAGGTATAGACTACTATTAAGCTTGCGTGAATGATTTTCATGTTTTTTTTACATCGGATGAATGATAATATGTATTAAATTCCTTCTTCTATATGCTTGTTTACAATATGTATAAAAAATAAGAGAAAAAAGGGTTATGATTATTAAGTGCAGGATATTTACTTCGTCTACTTTCTTTTCTAATGTCAATGTGAATCGTCAAAATGAATAAGCGAAAGTAAATACAACGAACGGATGAATATATAGGAAATCAGTGTTTTGAAACAGTAAATGAATACAACTCTTTGAATACATTTATTAAATCGAAATTTTAGAAATCACAATTATTTTTATAAAATAGTAAAAGACTTTTATGAGATATCTTTTTCCAAAGCACAAGAAAAATCAGAAGGTTTGATTTAAAACTTAGAAATCATCACATAGGATATCTTGGTCAATTATTTTATCATCAATAAAAATATGACAATGTTGAATATTTTTCTATATGATTAATAAGTGGTTGAATAAGCAGAATATTGAATAGTTTTTCATAATTGTTCGACTTCGAAATTAAAAAAAATTATCTTGTAAATAATTATTTAATTTTTAACAATTAAACGGATAATAATAAGGCGTTTAATAGATGATAAAAGATATAATCATCTTCATTGAATATATTCAAGAGTAAAAATAGAAGAATTCATTTGTATAAAACATATGATACAACATATAATATATTGATATCTCATAAACAAAACATTCTAGATTTGTACATAAGGACAAATGTGAACAAAGCACTGGCAAGCTGTAGAAGGTTTTCATTATGCTTAATTTATTTAATTCAATCTGTGTATAATCTATACTTTTCTTTGTTTATGTACCTCCACTACCATCAATTAATGTTCAAAATCAAATAAACAAACTACAGCAATAATTGAATGTACAACAGCAAGCACATTAAAATGAATCGAATCAACTACAAAAAAAACCTACTTCACACATCTTATTGAATAACTATATAAAACTACCAAATAATGATCGATCAATATTCTGATTAACGGAATTCTTGACTAAAATTCCATGAGCATTTGTTATATGTGTGAGTGTGTGTACCTTTTTTTATAGTAACGGAAGAATTATTTGATGGCTAAGAGACAGAACTATTACATAAATCAATCATTTATCATCTCTTAATTGTATCAAACAATGATGAAGAAGATCAGAGCAACTATTTTTAAAATTATTCTCGAAAGATTTGGCTGAGATATTTTGTATATATTTATTTGTTGGATAAAATCAAAGTTAAGTAAACATATAATAGTATAAGAAAATGAAGTTTATTCTATTTTGATTATTTTTCCAACGATATAATGGATTTCTATAGATGTCGATGATCTCTTGATTAAATTTATTTTGAAATATTTCTTTAAAATATTATGAAAATATTTTCTAGAAAAAGAAATTCAAATAATCTATCAATTTATTTTTTTTAAGAGAAATGTATTGTTTTTGTCATTTAAATCGAGAATGGTGTAATTTATTCGAATAGATTTTCCAATCTTTTCTCTAGTTACTATACGGATAGTGACCCTTTATATTATATTAGTATTTCAATAGATTGATTTTCTCATTCAATAGAAACTCATCGATAAACAATTATTATAGTTAATCTTTTTATATCCACCCAGTATTAAAATATCATTTATCCCCTTAATTGAAGAAAAATTGATACGAAAAAAAACGAAAATGCGTTTGTTTGCTTGTAAGCAGGGTCAAAGGTCAAAAAAACATATCGTTGAAAAGGTTTTTGATGTTGAAAGATCCGCTTCTATCATTACTATTTTTGATCTTTCAATGGATTTGCAGCTTATGGCCAAAAAACATTTCATTGAAAGCCTCGCGCGATTCTCTAGATTCCTGTATGCAATGGGGGGTAGATTAGCATCCTCTAATGCTTCGTTATTGGGGTGCCCTTGGGTTCTCTAGTACTATACAAATACATGAATCATGCCTTGCTGGAAAGTTTGGAAGCTGCTGCGTATTTAGAGATTTTCTAGCTTGAGATCATGCTAAGTGCGTGAGTTTGTCTACGAATGTTTTGTGGTGATGTTAACATTTGCGGTATGGATGGTATCTGTTCTAAACGAGAATCTTTTACGGAAGTATATATAAAGATAATAATAAAAACCTACAAGAAGCTTATCATTTGTAGTGCTTTTTCTTGATCTTAGATTTTCATAATCGTTTTTGAAAGGTAAAATTGGATATAGAAAAAAATCAGTCATTCAGTCGAGGATACAGTAAGTTGAAACAACGAGTGTTACTTGTATCTACTAATGATTGAATCGAATGATCAATGTTTTTCATGTTTAAATAAAACAAGAATATGTATTCCAATTGACGAAAGACGAAAAACAAAATTAAAGCATCTGTCATACAAGAATATAATAATTGAATATTACATTAATTGTATTTATTATCGAAAGTATCGTCATTAGTATCGACAGAAAATCATCAATGAGAGTGTATATATTAGAAAATAACAAATCTAAAACACCTTTCATAAGTATTTATTAGCTGATTTTTTTGTATTTACAATGGAATTAAACGAAACTATTTTATTTTATTTTATTTTGATAGATCATGCCAATGTCAACAAATTTTTCATCTCTTGATTTAACACTTGATGATTGGTCATTAATCAATAATATAACACATGCTTATGATATTTGCGGTTTAAATTACGATAAAACTCGTATAAATAATTATTCATTAACAGATTCTACATTAACAGATTTTTTAAATGATGAACAACAAATGTATCGAAGTTTAATATTGTTTTATAATCAAATTCCTGGTTTTAAACAATTAAATATCGAAGATAAAATCCTTTTAATAAAATGTAATATAACACATTTAATTCATCTTCATCATATATTAAAAGATAATTTTATCGAAAATCCTAAAATTGGTTTACATATGAGTAAATGGATAGATTCAGATTTTCATAAACAAATGTCTAAAACACGTCATTCCTATGATTATTTCATTGAATATCCTATCGTATTAAAATTAGCACTTATTCCTTTAATGTTAACAATAAATTTATCGCGATTACCTTTTGATCAATTATCTTTGGAACTTAATGATAAAAACTTAATAATTCAATATCAAAGTCTTTATATAACATTATTATGGAAATATTTAAATGTTATTTATGACGAAAAAGATGCAATAAAAGCAGTACAAATTCTTATTTTTCAACTTCTTCGTTATCAATTATTAATGTATGAAATGGAAAATATTATTAAAAAACAAACAAATTCTAATCAATTTAATCCATTAACTAAATCTGTACTTCGTTTAAATTAATTCTTTCGATTCATTGATAATTAACTAAAATCAAAAATTTTATAAAAGAAACCTTAACAAAAAATACATTGTATTTTCTTTTTCATTCATATTGTTATTGTTGTTGACAATTTTTCGGTTGAGTTGTATGAAATTGTTTAACTCTGTTAATCATTAGTATAGTTGCTTTAATCAGATGTATTTTTAGTTCAAAGATAAAAGATATCAATTCGTTCTTTTTGGCAAAGTTTAACTAAAAATTCTATGTCTTACAAGCATTTTGTATTCACAAGAAAATATCTGTTACATTCTATCAAATATCTTCATTGAATTTTATCGATTCATAATAAAAAAAGTTAAGTAGCTTAAAGTAACTGCAAATAACTTCAAGTAATATGCTAGAATCATTGTATATAGAAGACCGTAGTTTCCAGTTGTAAAAAACATGAAATTTTGTAAGGACTATCACAAATAATTTAAAATGACATTCGAGAAGCATTATAACTTCTTTGTACACTGTTTTTATAATAATATATCAGTTTATTTCGAACAGGACATGTCTACATGAGACAATGTTTCTATTAAAAACTTCAAACATAAAAAAAAGAGTATCATGTTTATGCTTAATCTACAGCGTTACACATATTTAGTGTTTTGTTCAATATGTTCATCGATATTATACATCGGCCCTGTGGCCTAATGGCTATGGCGTCCGACTTCGAATCGGAAGATTGCAGGTTCGAGTCCTGCCAGGGTCGTTCTTTTTTAGTATTCAGTATACATATAAAGTGACCTTAACATCAACTCCTCCTTGTTAATACGCGATATGAAGCATAATATTTATATCGTTTAACATGAACTTTTATTTTTTTTACTTGACTGATATGCTGCTCAAAAGTTAGTTCTTTTTATTGTCAATAATATTAAATTCTTTCAAAAGAAATTGTTTGTCGTGCATTGAAGTATCAGTGAAATAGATGTAGAATACTAAGAGGCTTATATATTATACGCCATTCATTAGATTTAACTTTGTATAAGAACGTTGTTCTTTTCCAAAAACTAAGTTTCTTATTCAAGTGAAAATAGATGTTTATTCAACTGAAAATTATTATGAAAAGTGTTTTAGAGTATAATTAGCTTGAAAACAATCAACTAAGCATAATCCAACATTTTTATCAGTGGAAGATGAAAGTCGTACAGCATCCTCAACGAAGATAATAAAAGATAAAAGGAACGCAAGTGACGGTTCATAGGAGAACATGAACATCCTCATATAAATATAAAGGAGAATAGGCAAATTAGCAATAAAGAATTCATGATAAAACAAGAGAAAAATACTTGAAATTATATATATATCCCATGCTTGATCTTAAAAAGAATAAACAATATGTGTTACTGATCATATAAGTTGATTCTTTTTATTTATTCTCAACATCAACAAATTTCGTATACTTTAACAAATGTAAAAATGTGTATCGATTCGATCGAACACTTAAAAAAGGAACATAAAATGATCGAAATATTGATCGTCTAAAAAACAAAAAATAAAACACTTATTGAAACATGAAAAAACAAATCTATATTTTCTTACTTTGATGGTGCTATCATTTTCATAGATGTTATTATTCTCGATTGTTGACTATAATTCGGTTGAAGTTCACTCGGATTTTCACTATCATGATCAATAATATAATCACATTGATTTAAATTCACCTGTTTATATTTTATTAAAAATACATTTTTTATTTATATTTATAAATAAAACTTACATATCGATCCATTTCTTCTTTATTCGCATCATTAAAATGATTATCTTTTAATTGAGTCGCATTTTTTAAGTCACTATAAGTTTTTGGTAATTGACCTCGGAATTCTGAACGAAGAAATGCTAATTGTGATCTAAAAGAAAAAAACAAAGAATTTGCAAATAAAATCAAACTATTGAATTACTTTTGTGGTAATAGAAAATGTGATGGAAATCGATACCAATCTTTTCCAATACAAATGTTTAAATGTCTATCTCCTTCCAATTCAAATGTTCTTGTTGTATTTGAATGAGTTAATAGACGAATTGGTGCTGAATAACCATCAACAATAGCTATTGTTCGAGATATTGATAATATTCCATGAAGAATTATTATTGAATAAAATAATAATGAACGAATATATAATACCGAATCACGTTTTAATTTTATTAGACGAACAAGACGTGGAATAAAATTCTAATTAATTTAAAAAATTATATATTTTCTTTAAATTAAAATTAATTACTTCAAATTGTTCGATACAAATAGAAGCCGCAAGAATTATCAATGGATAGATAGGAAAAATAAAACGATCTTCCTAATATCATATAATCAATATTTAATTTAGTTTTTAAATCTAATTTACTTTATGTGGTTGCATCCACAATAAACCCATCCAAAGAAGAATTGATGATACAAGCATTGTATATGGTATTGCTGCTTTACCTGATTGTATATAACGTCGATCAGTCCATATATCAATAAATGGCTAAAAGAAAATAAAAATGAAAATTTAATAAAAAAATAATAAATTTTCTTACTGTTAACATAATTCCAATAATAGCCAAAGGATAAATAATATTAAAATTGAGTAAACCATTTGTTATATAATAAGTCCATGGTTCAGTACCTAATCAAAAAGAAAAATGTATTGATTATTTATTTTCTAAATTAATTTTACCATAAAGAGTTGGACCATGTTTTGAAAATATATTATAACCAATATGATTTAATGGTGCTATTACTAATTTTCCATAATAATATGAATCAACTAAAGTTAATGGAACCTTTAGAAGAAAATATTTTAGAACTTTTTTTCTATGATTTTATTTTTTACTTACTAATGTTATTACACCGGATATTAAACTCCATTTAATAAAATCTAAATAACGTTGACGACGAATAAATATATCAATTGCTATTGGGATACTAAATAAAATAGAAAATAAATCAATTAGAAGAAGAAATTTCGAATACGAATTACCCAAGTACAGCAACATAAATCCATCCACATAATGATCCAAATGCAATAAAGAAAACGGCTAACTATGAACAAATATATTAAATTTAACAAAAAACGAATAAATATTTTAATTTTTCAAACCGGTAATGCATTTGAAAACCAACATGTGTAAGCAAATAAAACAGTATACATTGAAAATGAATTGTTAATAAAAGCACTACTACTTCGAAATAAAGCCACATTGAAAATTGATAAAGCAGCATAATTACGAGCAATAGAACTATTCAATTGTTTATCAATAGCACTTTAAAGAAACAAAAATATCGATCAGGAATTATAATATAGTTTCATTATTTGATTTATTAGAAAGTATACCGCTAACAGGCCACCTTTCAAGAGGATTTTTTCATCGATTTTGAGCTTGTACTCTGATCATATAGAAGAAGTCTATCGATCATCGAGAATACTGAGTTTATGAAATACTTAGTGAAACATTTGAGTTTACAACTTGAAGTTCTTTTGACTTGATCACTGCGTAGATTTTAGTATGTCCATACATTCAAAATATGAGCTTAAAACTATTAAATCATTTCGAGCAATTCTCTTGTAAGAAAACAAGAAGTTGTTGTTGTTCTCTTTGACTAAATTTAAGCAATATCTGGACATATATAAAGACTAGGTCTTTTGATTTCGATGTATCTTGTAGAATTAAATTAAATTTTAATTCCGACATTGCTATAGATAAATATCTGTATATTTATATTCAACACTAAATGCAAATCTCCGTTATTTATAACTGTAGTATTTCAATCTTCAATTTGTTCATTTATGACAAAAAGAAACTCATGTATTTGTCTTAAATAGACTATTTATATAGAATACTAACCGAAAAAAGAAAGCTTCACACATTGCACAAACAATTGAAAGACAAATTCGTAGAGCATAGAATGCAATAAACTAAATAATTTTTCGAATAAATTCAGATTTGGAATATATATATCTTTTGAATAATAATCTCACTTTAAAACTACTAGGAATAAAAGCAATGGGTAACCAATGAAGTACAATATAAGCATAAGAACGTAAAGCAAATAACGGTGAATATTCCCATGTTTGAAGACCATTTCCATACATTAATTTGTGTAACTGAAAAGCAGCAAATTCTTTTTCAATTTACTTTGACAAAAATCCTTTCGATTTTTCTTACAGGTTCATAAAAATTGAAAACTTCATCACAATCATCAATTGGATTGAAAAATGCACTTATTAATCTGCTTAAAATTAATAATTTGAATACAGATGGAAAATTTCTCATCTGTTTCTGGAATTGCCATGAAAACATCTACAGTGAAGGATCTCTTTTAGGAATTTTTGTTAATATATATTTTTTTTCTCTTCTTGTTATCCAGTGTAATGAATGAAAAAAAAAAGAAAAACGATAGAAGACACAAAACGCGTTACATAAACAAAAGACGAGACGCGAAGAAGAAGAAAAAAGAAACAAAACAAAAAAAAAAGAAAACAGAACGACAAGACAAATAACAACAAATAAATATTTCTCTCAAAATATTTTATCTTTCTCTCTAATTTTTTTTTAACAAAGTTTATGAAAACCTTCATCTGACATCTCGCACATATACTGTAGAATAGAGGCCTTTCAACAAAAGAAAACAAACGAGAGAAAAGAAAATAATATATGAGAGAAACATTTGTTTATTTGTTTTTTTTTAGAGACACGTTTACTAACGAGTCTATTATAATAATGATGATGGCAATTAAATGAAAAAAGAAAACAAGAAATTATACCTAATGAAAAGAGAGAGAGAGACACGCATAGTTTTTGTTGTCTAAAAAAAAAGAAAAGAGAGAAGAAAAGAAAAAGAGAAATAGAACACGGACTAGAAAGAGAGAAGAGGCGAGCGGACACGTCATTCCGGTGGGTGAACAATGAGAGGCTAAGACTACCACGACATACGTATGGCACAACATCGATAAACAAACAAAAAGATAAATCATGTTTATAATGATGGTTCATGTAGAATTTCATGTTGTTGTTGTTGTTGTTGTTGGTGATTAACATGACTCATCAATTTTTGACGAATTTCCCGTATACGTTGATTTAATAAACGTTTTTTAGGAAATAAATCTTGATTTTCTAATTGAAACGATGATATTGCTGAATCTTTAGGAACAAAAAAATATTATTTTCAAAACAAAAACAAACTAATTGTTACCGGTGGGATAAATATGATCTTTTAAAAAATCAATCACTTTTAGTCTTGATGCTAATTGATTTTTATTTAATATTTGACTATTTGAACATATTGTAGCGTTTGTTTGACGATTTGTACTTGTTTTTATATAATGAGTTTTCATTTCTTAACAAAACAGAAAAAATGAAAATGAAAATAAAATAATTTTTGTTTCAATAAAATGAATACCATCTAAATATTTAATATAATCAATATTTGTACGTTTTATTTCACTTTCATTTTGTTCACAATTAACTGATGCTTTTCGTTTACGTGTTATTATTGGTGATAGATCATTACTACTACTACAATTAGTTGCACATCCACGTTCACTAATACTTCGAGATCGAGTTGTTGGACGTTGACCACACTAAAAATAAGAAATTAAATGATTTCTTCTATATTTAATAAAAACAAACCTCTAATGTAATAGTTTTTCTTCGTTTTGTTAATGTTTTATTAGTATTTGTATCTAATTGTTGTGATGTTGTTGGTATTGGTGATTGTTGTTTAGGTAAAATATTTGTTTGATATTTATTTTCATTAAATGATGTTAATTGTGTAACTTCATCATCTGTTGTTATTGGTAAATGAATATTTGATTCATTTATTGTTGGTAAATACTGAATTGAAATTTGTTTTAATGGTGTTGGAGATGTTTTACTTCGTTCTGATAATGAACTATTTGAACGTGAACTATATGCTGATAAAATTGTACTACTACTATCAAGAGAAGATGTTGATGAAGATGAACCACTTGAATAACCTGTTGAATTACTTGATGATAAAGATGATGATGATGCTAAAAACAAAGATTTTATTTTATTTAAATAAGAAGAATTGATTTGTTTACTAAGTGAATGTGTTAAAAAATGATGTTGAGAATTTTGAAAAAATAAATTTCGTTGTTGATGTTCATCAAGAGAAAAACGTTTAGTTGATAATGATGATTGATTAGAATTCGATTGATCATTATTACTGTTCGATTCAGTTGGTGATTGAGATGTTGAAGCTTTATTTGAATGATTTGTTGTTGTTGTTGATTGTAATTGTTTAAGATGTTGTTCAAGACTTTGATTTGTTTTACGTTGATTAAGTAACATTGAAACAATTGTACGACATGTTTCATTTTCAGTTAAAATTGCCGATGAAGATGAAGATGAAGATGAAGAAGAAGAATTTTCCGGTTTTAAATGTGGAGAATTTGGTAATGAATCACTTTTTTTCTCATTTTCATTTGAACAATAAGATGGATGAAGACGAAATGCTGTATTACGAAATTGAAACATTCCATTTGAACATACATCCATTTCTAAATTTATATTTACAAGTTTATTCAAATGATATACAGAGTGGGTCATAAATATATTTATTATCTCCATTAAAACGCGCTGTTTTTTTATGCCAATGATAGATAACCATTAACAAAATTTTTATGACTCACAGATGCGAAAAAAACTTGTACAGAATCGAATAATGTTCTTTTGAACTCTCCTATTAAAATCAATGAAGGGTTTCTATCAATGGCGTTGTTTGCGTGACCCATAATGAAAATATTTAAATTGTTTTTTCATTAAATATTTACTAGTGATTCAGAGTGTTCTTATTAAAAAAAAAAAGATTGAATGATTGGATGAAGTGTATTAATGTAATAAATATGTGAATGTTTATCTTATTATTCTAATTTAATAATTTCATTAAATAAATGAGATGCAATTATT